GGACACAGGAATCTCACTGCGTGTTGCCTGCAAGCTGTGCACTGTGAGCATGCATCAGCCATAATTGTAGCCTATATCAGGATCAAACCGTCTGTCTGGCATTCTGTGGGTTTTACGTGCTTATTGTTTACTTCTCCCTTGGCTGACATCCAGTATATTTGGTCAATATTTATTTTATGTACTTCAAATACCTGTAGCCAGCCTCTTAGGGTTAAAAAAGCACCCCCCAGGCAGTTTACAACAGCTAACATGATAAGTTTTACAAAAAACATAAGCCCATAATGCCAAAAACAAAAATTTGTGAGAATCAGAAATAATGCTAGCATATCAAGAGCCAGTTTAGTTTGGTGTTTAGGCTATTGGACTGAGGTCTGGGAGATCTGGGCTCGTGTCCTCACTTGACCATGAAGCATACTGAGTGAATTTGGGCCTATCATTCACTTTCTGCCTGTCCTACCTCATAGGGTTGTTGTTGCAAAGATAAAATGGGGCTATGTAATCTGTCCTGGGTTCCTCTCAAGAAGAAACAAAGTGGAGTATAAATGCAGCTTTATAAGAATAATAAAAACACCTGGCCAGAAGAAACACTAACATTTGAGAGATTGTTACACCTAAAATCACACTATATATAAACCCAATAAAATCGATTTAGGATAGTCTTTAGGCCTGCAGAGAAAGACCCCGACAGAACCCAAATAGCATAGCATTCCACCAACATGGGACCAGTATAAAGATGTCTTTTCCCTTCTACCTGCCAGCCTTAGGAACCAAAGTGGATCAGAACATTGGTCTGTTTAGTCCTGAATTTTTTCCTAGCCTTTCTAGATATACTGGGGACTGAGCTGGGACCTTCTGTGTGCAAAGCATGTATTCTACCACTGAGGCATGGCCCTTCCTGCTGTTGTGCCAGGCACTTAAGCAGGCTTCAAGAGCAGTCTCGGCGTGTGTGCGGATTCATTTGCACAAGGGCAGAAGTAGGTCTCCACTAAAGCCTTTAGGACCGCGCCAAGCAAATCAACAGCAGTCGATGCAATTAGTACAATACAGGTGGCTCATGATCCCACTGCCCATCTTTAGCCCCTACTCGCACAAGCTGAAATTTCTATTTGGTGGGTGATAGTGGATTAAAGTTTAAGAACCATTATTCTACCTATTTTATACAAACCCCATGAATGTATTTGCATTTAGCACATATAAACATACCTCAGCTTTCCAACTTGGCCTGGGAGGCCATAGGATTCTTCTGAGTCCCATGCCTTAGATTCTGTGATCTCAGAGCTAGAATTCCAAAGGCCAACCTCCTGGCAACCATTGCAGAGACAACCTGGCTCTCCACCCGCAAGGTCACAGGTAGGCCTTGGAGCAGGAAAATGGGAGATGTTGGAGCATAGAGTGAAAGAGGCTGGAACTGAGAGCTTGCACCAGCGTGGCACCTCATCCTCCTTCCTTCCTTCCTTCCTTCCTTCCTTCCTTCATCCCGTCCTCCTTCATTTCTCTAGATGGCTGAAAAGAGCTGTCTAGAGAAGTAACAGAGTTCAGCAGTTTCTGTGATCTGCCCTGGAGGTGACTTGATTGCACCCTAAATAGCTAAAAATAACTGCTTGATCATCGGGGACATCAGCAGATGCTATAGAGAAAAAAAATCACCCTGAATCCAGGCATGGCTAAAGGAAAAAGCCAAACATGGTCCTTTCAAAATCCTCCCTTCAAACAGGAGTCGATTGAACAGAAAAACACAGGGCCCAATGCAGCACCTAGTGCTTCCCACTAAGTTCAGCTGAAATCAGTGGGATTTAGGTTAGTCACGGCTAAGATCCATTCTATTGCTTTTGAAGAGATTGAGGTGTGACTTAAGTCACAGTTGCTGGATTTTGCTGAGAAGCTTTAAGTATTTCACAGCTCTAATAATCACCTGAGACTAGTAATGTTTATTTACGGTGGATAGAGAAGAAGTGCTAAGTGCATGTCTGAATGTGTGTGTCCACGCCCTCTCTTCTGGCACAGCATGCAAGTGGAATGAAATATTGATAAAGCATGCTGGGAATCTGATTTGCCACCCCTTTTTAGGTGTGTTAAAGACTTGCACATTAACTCCAGAGAGTGAGTGCTTTAAAATGCAGCCTGTGCCTTTAAAAGCACCATTGCAAAGAACTCCCATCCAGCTACAGTGCCAGCTCTGTGAGTGAGCTGTTTTCCTCCTGGCCTTCTTTGTGTTCCTGTTAAAGCAGCAAAACAGTGAATTAAAATACTGCTGCATTTATAGAAGAACATCCAAATATTCCAAGTTGCATTAGATGCCATAATGTAGAGAGTACACAGCACTTTTGCCCCTAAGGCTGCATCTGGATCTGCTGTGCGAAGGCATGGGATGCAACCAAGGCACCAACCTTGGGAGCTTCAGCCTTTGCTTTGTGGGGCTGGAACAGGGGAAGCTGGGGACTTCTATGCCATTGGGGCTCCTCCTCCATTGCAGCTTTTCTTCTGAGCTTTACAGGAGCTGTCCATGGTACTGAATTCCATCCTCAGAAATACAGCGTGAGACTGAGATGTAACAGGAATATTTGCTGGCTAAACAACATCATGTTAAAATCTTGTGCCTGCTCTATATTATCTGCTGAATAAACCTTCCTTTCCTTTCTAAGTGCTGTGTAAATGCAAAACCAGGGTTTGTTCTCTCTGGCTATGTGCATTAAACCTGAACAAAATATCCTAAACATTTCAAGGCAAACTGGTGGGCAGATCTACACTTCCTTTTGGGGTGTACTTCTCAAGACTACCTGTTGTGACAGTGGGCAGTGCTAAAGCTGGATATGAATTTCCTGAAACACATAGTTCCACTGTGCTTAAATAGGTGGGAGCAAAGATGCAATGTTCCACGCCTTTTCCCATGGCTACTCGCCCCCCTTGCCACACTGTTTTGTCCAATCTCTTTAAGGGGATAACCTGACCTTTTCTTGAAAGAATTCCAGCATTCATTATTGACTGCTTATTCTCATCTCACTGGATGGCTAGCCCAGGATACTAGCTATACTTCTTGAATTCAAGTTTACCCAACATGGCCCATGGCCTGAAAGCTTTCCTGGCCTGTGAGTTTATGGCTGTGGAGCTAATACTGATATATATGCACACAACACCCACTCAGGGCAGAAAAGACTCTCAACATTATTATCCTTGAATGAAAATCATTTAATAGACCCCCTCATTTCTCAAGGGCCTATTTGCTTTGTTTGTTTGTTTGTTTGTTTGTTTCTGCCTAGCTTTCCCTTGAAGAGTATCAAGATTCCTTCTGGAACAGACCAAAGGCCCAGTTAGATCAGCATCCTGGTTCCTGCGGTGGCCAACCAGATGACCTTGGGATGTCCAGAAGCACCACCTTCCTGCTTATGTTCTCCAAGCAGCTGGTATTTGGAGGGAATACCTCTAAAACTGGAGTGGACATATAGCAGTGATGACTAGTTGCCATTTATAAGTTTGCTCTCCGTGAATTTCTCTTGTCAGCTTTCAAGGTGACAACCGAAGGTGGTGACCCTTGCCACATGTTGGGGAGATTAATGCCATGGCCACTGACTGGTAACTTGTATGTGTTGTGTGAAGGGGGACTGAGTCCGGCGGGTCCTGAAGCTGCCACCCTCAGCTTTTAGTATTATTCCTTGTAGAATGGCTTCTGTATTCAGGAAATTTGCTTGTAAAATGTTTAACAACAATGAATCCAGAGATTGCTGTTGGGCAATGCAGGACTCTGAACAAACTTTATCAGCCACACTGAAGACCCACTTCCAGGAAAGATATTCCAAAACCAAATCATTTAACTTCAGGAGTTCTAGATCTTAAAGGTAGGTCCCATTTTGTTTGCACTGCATGATATACAACAGACATCGGTGATTCATTATCGTTTAGACTAAGTGATTCTTCATGGTTACTCACACTGGTGCTCCATCATAAATGCGCTAGTGTCAGGGGAACTGTAAATCTTGGTCGGATCTAAAAGATGTCTGCAAAGACAGGAGGCATAGTCAGAGAGCTCTTTATTCTGCTAGGATGATGTATCTACTTACCTTATTTTTCGCTCTATAAGACGCACTTTTCCCCCCTCAAAAGTAAGGGGAAATGTCTGTGCGTCTTATAGAGCAAATGTGTGTGTGCCCAACGCCCGGGACGCTGCTGGCCCGCCTGCACCACGTGGCACCAGCTGGCTGGCACGCGCTTGGGGCACCCTGCTCGCCCCCCCCCCGGTGCAGGTGAGAGCTGTGCCGCTCAGGGGGAGGCGTGTGGAGGAGGAGGAGCCGGGGCTTTAACCCGCCAGCCACACGGAAAGATAGAGTGCTCACCCCCACCGCCCGGGAAGACCTGCCGCTGCCACGCCGCCCGGAAGACCACTGCCAGCACGCTGCCGGCCCGGCTGCACCACGTGGCACCAGCTGGCCGGCATGCACTCAGCGCGCCCTACTCCACACCCCCACTCCGGCGCAAGTGAGAGCTGTGCCACTCGGGGAGTGGTGCGGAGGAGGAGGAGCCACGGGCTTTAACCCGCCAGCCGCACGGAGAGATGGACTGCTCACCCCCACTGCCCAGGAAGACCTGCCGCCGCTGCGCCACCCGGAAGACCACTGCTGGCACACTGCCGGCCCGGCTGCTCCGCGTGGCACCACCTGGCCAGCACGCGCTCAGCGCGCCCTGCTTCGCCCCCCTCCTCTGGCACAGGTGAGAGCTGTTAATCACAGGTTGGTGTGTGTTTTCAAATGGCAACCCGTCTTTTAATGAAGCCCAAGGGAAAGTGATGGGGAATGTGCCTGTGATTAGAGCAAAAAATAGAGCGAAAAATACGGTACTTGTGTGCCTCTTTAGGAGTTGGACTCTCCATCAGCCTCATCTGGCATGGCCAATGATCATGGATTATGGGAGTCACAGTCCAGCAAAATCTGGAGAAGACAATTCTGCATGGGGCAGGGATGAGGCACCTCAGGGCTCAGTTGGGCCCCTGGGCTGCCCCATCTCACCCATAGAGGCTCCTCCCCAAAGCCCTGCTCCTTCAGCAAAGGGACGGGGCTGGAGAAGGACAGAGCTGGGTCCACAAGGGGAAGGGGAGTGGGAAGCAAGGCTGTGTTCAGACTGTGTTATGGGGAACTTTAGGCTTCTCCAGGAATACATCTGAGGTTCTGCACTCAGTGAACAGGTCAGCCAGGGGAAGTGTTCCACTAGCTCTTTTATCCTCGCAACAATCTGGTGAGATAGATTAGTTTAAGAGAAAGGTGGTGCCAAGGTCACCCAGTGAGGTTTGAGGCTGAGTGCGGGTTTCTGAACTACCTTCCCCTAGTATTAGCTGGGCACTCCAGGATACGGTGGGAGGGTACCGTAATGACAGAACGGACTGCACTCCTTTAGACTGCAATATTTCAAAGAAATGTTCCCTTCTATAACAAAATCACAGCAGTCAGAAAACCAGAGCAGCATGCTAAGGCCTGAAATGGAATTCTGGTGCAATAATTTGGTACTTAGATTTTTCTTTTTTCTTTTGTTTTAACATGCAAGAGCATTAAAAAGTGGTGCTCCCTGTCTGTAAACTAAACTGGTATAGTCCTTTCTGCAGCCTCATTTCCATCTTATTTTCCTACATGTGTAAACCCAGCCTGATTGTGGAACAGGCACTACGACAGTCACTGGCCCAGCTGGGTGAGGACGACGGCAGTCGCTATCCAACTGGAGCATTCCAGGTTGACGAAGGCTCTTCCAGGGGAAGGTTGCTGCTGTTTTGGTTGTTGTTGATTTCATTTCTATGCTTCCCAATAACTGAAGCTCTCTCAGTGGTTCATAAGAAGTCATAAAAAACACAAAACCCACAAGGAATTCCTCTGCAGATATTCCTGGGTTTCTTGGCAAACCAAAAGCATTCCAGGAAGGTAGAAAGCATGTGAACCACTCCTGTTGGCCCTAAATTTGACATTTGTGGTGAGCCTGGAGTTGTCCATAATATACAGTATAACATAGTACAGGGGGATGATGGAATTATAGTCTATGGTAGCATCCACAATGTGTGGAATCACATGCAGGGACAGGAATCCAGGAGGGATGCTGTTCAGAGGCGTTCAGCATCTTGCAGCCTAAGGAAGGAAACACATTTCTGAGAAGCTCTCGGGCTGTATTCCAGTGGAAGATAAGCCACAGTCAAAAGGGGTGGAGCAAAAGGGAGCGGGTCTCCCCAAATATGGCATATTTTAGTATAATAGCATGAAGAGCTCTAACGAAGCCTCAGGAGAGCCATTTCACCTTTTAGAATGGGGGAAACATGCACAAAAACCAGGAAACCACCTGGTTCCGTGGTCTGGGAAAAGAGGGTGGGAACAGGGGAAGGCAATACGGCCCCTTGGGGCACCCACGGGCTGGATTGGGGCCCTGGGCAGAGGTCTCTGACCCTGATTTAGATGAACCTCTGTATTGTGGCACAAATTTCAACACTAGGCCTCTGGTGCAGACCATCTCCCCTACATGCTGTGGGGGGAAGATTGCATTCTTATCTCATGAAGATGTATGTCCTGGCATCTCCAGATGAGAGGCAGGATTTTTTAGGAAAAAATCTGAATAAAAATCCTCCACCTGTGTCAACCATGTTCACCATATGGCCATATCTGGATCATGGTTTCTTCATGCCCACAGGGAAGGGACATGATTCGGAGAGCACCTTAGGGAATGTCCTTGCTCTAATCTGAAGGAATATCCAAGAATAAAAAGTAATGTTCATATAGTAATAGTAATAAGGTAATAAAAATAAAAAGTAAAGTAAAAAGTAAAATAAAAAATGAAATAAAAGGTAATAAAAGGAAGCATTGTCCTTGGGTGAGAGAAATCTCATTTAAAGTGATAAATAATAAACTTGCTTCTCCTCTCACACCAGTTCTGCAGCTAAGGGTGTCTACCACTTTCCAGCTTGCAAGTCACAAAACTAAACAAGCCGATCCAGCTCTTCCATCAACATGCTACCTTTGCCAGTTGCAACACATTTCAGTCTAAGGCAGGAGCGCGCACTCAGCCAGCAACCCCCACACCAAGCATTCAGCTTCAGAGCAACTTTTCAAAGCCTTCCGACTTCAGCTAGCTTTTCTTGGCTCAGCTGCTATTAAATAATGACTATGTCTTCCCACCAACAATATTTTGTCATAAGACGGTCCCAGCATTATTGGAGGCTGGCTAGAGATGGGTGTGGCTTTTGTGCTTCGGATGTTGTTTTGTAGTAGTGTATAACTTGCTATCCTACATGAAAAATTAAAATATACTTATGATTAAAAGAAAGCTAGCAGCCCTTGGATGTGAAGAAAGGGGCTCCTCATCAAGCAAAAAGGTGAATGGAGTTCTCATGTTTTGAGACCCAATTTATATATAATGCAATGCAACAAGAAGGGGGAATAATGCTTCTCTTTGAGTGTGTCCCTTCCGGCCACAGGTTGGAGCTTGTCCTATAAAACTCACCCTGCATGTCAAGACACAGCACACTGGGGAGAAGGCCAGCCCAGACCTGCCTCCCAGAGGTATTTGTTCTCAAAGGGCAGGGAGAATTTTTTAGTCATCTGAATGTTCAGACATACAAGAACCACCTATAGATGCAGACGGTCCAATCTAGGCCAGACAAGAATTGCCACGAACGATACCAGCAAGGCTTGAGAGGCTCCTTGTTGTTACCACTATCTTCACAGGACGTCACTCCATGAAATTTACATTGATCTTGGTGGCCTTATAGGCCCCTTCCAACTGGACTTTTCCATCTAAAAATCTATCTAAAACTTTTGTAGACCGTCCCATTACTGAAGTCTCGGGACGGTTTATCAATACGGTTTATGTTTAAAAAAATTAAAACACAGTGTTCTAGCATTTAGCTGATAATAAAAGCCCAATTAAAACAGTCAGGTCTTAAAACATTGGGAAAATAAAAAGCTTTTGGCCTGGCGCCGAAAAGAATAAAGAGACGGCACCTCTGTGTTCTATGATCTCTCCGAAATGATCAACTCACACTTTTGCCTCGACCAAAATGTTTGCCCCCTTTGCTTAACATCCTCCCAAAGCGTCTGCCTTGCTTGTGCCTGTCCCTGAAGGCTGGATTTAAGGGCAGGCAGGTGCCTAAGGTTTGTGTGCCTGGACTATCAAGAGACCCTGAAGCCAAAACCGCTTCCCTTGCAAAGCAGGCCCCCCAAAGTTAAGGCTTGCTTTGCATTTGTGAGGAAAGTGCACCATCAGTGCCCATTCATCAATTGGTGTGCACATGAGTGAATGTAAATAGACTGTGATCAGTCCTACCCATGCGAGTTTCTTGTCCCATAGCAATGGGATAAACCATGCATGCAAATCATGCAACAGTTGTGAAATGGGCTCCACATGCCGTAAAAAATGAGGTATTCAAAGATGAACAATTAGAAAGGAGGTTTAGGGCACAGGTTCATCTAGAGCCAGCCCCCCAGACCACTTCTTGTAGCAACAGAAAGTCTCATAGCAACAATCCCCAGCCTGCTTGAATATGCTTTGTTTGCCCAAATTCAAACTTCGCAGGCTGTTTCCTTTCACATCCCAACTTGCAGGGTAGCTTCAGTTTCTTTCTAGTTATTCAGGCCTAATATACACGTTTCCACGCTTCTAAATTCGGAACCTTGGGATGCAGCGAGGGCTACTAGCTTCGTCAGCTTCAGCAGTTTGGGAATTTAACACGTATCAGCTCAGCCAGTATGGTTAATGGTCAAGGATGATGGGAGTTATAGTCCAAAACATCTGGAGGACAAGAAGTGCCCCCCAACTTAGATAAAAAGGTAAAGGTAAAGGTTTCCCCTTGACGTTAAGTCCAGTCATGCCTGACTCTAGGGGGCGGTGCTCATCTCCATTTCCTAGCCGAGGGAGCCAGCGTTTGTCCACAGACAGTCTCTGTGGTCATGTGGCCGGCATGACTAAACACCGAAGTGCACGGGATGCTGTTACCTGCCCACCAAAGTGGTACCTTTTTATCTACTTGCATTTGCATGCTTTCGAACTGCAAGGTTGGCAGGAGCTGGGACGGAGCAACT